ATGTTGTGAGGAGAGACCGGTCCTTGGAGAGGGACATCATGCTTGGGAGGGTGGAGGGACAGCGCAGGAGAGGAAGGCCCTCTATGAGGTGGATTTACTCAGTGATTGGGATAATTGGGATGGGAGTGTCGGAGACAGTGCAATTGGCACAGGACAGAGCGGAGTTTAGGGCTACTGTACATAGGGTCGCTATGAGTCGCAGGCGACTCGACGGCACATAACAACAACAACAACAGCTTACTTTGAAAGGTCATATATATTGTTTTACACAACGGATCTTTTCCCATTTCCATTTCCCACTCCTCCCTCCACACATTAAACTGTGCAACCTTATGATTGATTAATCCTACAGGCGTTATCATCACCCTTCTTCTTTCACCCTCCCCACTCCTTGGATCCTCATACACATTTTACAATAATGGTCTTACACAGTATTTGTCTCTTAGCTTAATGTTCTCCAGTCCCTCTCAGATTAGGTAGTGACTTACAAAATCATTAAAGAGAAGTAAATGTTTAATTAAGATTTTACCAAGATTTTGCAATGAGTTGCTTCTCCTAACCCACTCTGTCCCTCACTACAGGATAAAGACACTTCTAGATATGTCCTGATTTAGTGACAAAGGTCTATGCCTGGTTTTTTAATTTCTGTTCCCCTTGAGCCTCAGGCTCAAACCCAAGTCATAGTTTTGTCTCCTCTATACCTACTTTAATTAATGTGACCTCCTCAGGTCACTCAATCCTGTTCAAATGAAACAGTGGAGAAGTCTCTTGCCTACGTATCCTTGCCATTATTTTATTCCTTCATTCATGCATCATCTACCAGTTGCCCAACATTAAGACTATAAAGACACTTTATGAAGGAGACTGGCATATGAACAAATAATTACAGCACAAAGAAAGGGCTGCTCCAGAAGAGGCATTTTTAAAGTGTTTCAGGATCACATAACAAACAACCAGCACTATTTAAAGGACTCAAAAACCATCAGAGAGAAATGACAATTTATTGAATCTTAAAAGATGAGTTCTTTTCAAGAGTGGGGAAGTGGAAGAGCCTTCAAAGCAGAGGAAACAGCAAAGGTCTGAAAAATTGTCTCTGTGCAGTCCTAAGTTCGAACCTCCCTTGCCACTTTTCATAAACTGGCCAGAGTTTCTGAAATAACATCCCTCCTTCCAGGTATTTTACTGATACTTTCATATGCTTTTTTAATTACTTCTGCCAAAGTGCAACTCTTTTAAGTTGAGCACAGATAATGTCAAGCCCGTTTGAAAACTCTGCAACTCTGTGGATTTAAATGCACTAGTATTTTCATGCGTTTACCCCAAAACTTCATTCTATTTTCTCTCTTGAAACTGCCCTCCATTCTTGTCAAATCACACATAACTTACCACTGCCTGAATACACTTAAGATTTTACTGCATCTGTATCTTTATTCATTTCCTATTATTACCTGGGGCCTGAACACAAGTCCTTGCCACACCTTATCTATCCCTGTTAGGGGAAATTCCAAGCCATTCACAGTGTACCTTCATCAATCAGATGGGTACTTATTTCCTTTTCAGTACTTTATTTTTATTCCTTTTTGGGCAACTTGTACATGTGCTTTACATCTATGAGTCACAGAGTCATTTTCCATTCTAAGTAGAAAACCCAGAGAGGAAAGTTCTATTCTAAGTCTCTGTACCTTGTCAGACTTTTATGTAGTATAGTGCCTTATGATGAAGGATTAATAAAGAATAACCAACTTTACTTCCAAAGCATGAAAGCAAAGGCAAAGAAGAAAATGAGAAGAAAAAGTCTGCAAATGAAGTGTCTTACTGGAAACGCAGGGGGAAGAACCATATGCTTTGGCAAGCAGGTGAGTGAGCCCACTGCAATCACAGCCTTCACGGGAATCGTCAGGATCTGTGGGAGGGAGAAGCCGACCATAAAGGAACAAGTGGTTAGTTAGGTCCAAGTCTGAGCCCGAGAATTACTGCATCATCTTCTATAACAAAACACCCACTCATCTTGGCACTGATGTATTGGAAATATGAATTCATAATCAATTCTGAAATCTTATATGATTTAATTTACCTGTCAACACTGTTTAATTTAGCTGAGAAAGGAGCGAAGGGAGATTCTGCCTAATACTTGGTGGATTACTGATTTAAAAAGGAAAGCCAAATGGTACTGCAAAAACAGTAAATAAAAAGTCTAGAATTTTCTAGAGAAACAAACTATTTTTTTTGTATACAGATATGAACTAACATCAATCCAATTTTTAAAACACCAGATATTCTGAACTTAGAATGTACTTGTTAGGATATTCTCAATTTTCACTTTCATACAAACGTAACAAAGACTTGTACTAAATCTGGAAATCTGTTTTTTACCATGAGTTACAAATATGAATTCCTCACTTTTAGAGGACATTAATTTGATATACTCTCATTACTAAAAGGTCAATTCTATCCTTTAGTTTTTCTCGATGCTGTAGAAGTTGAAAGCAGGTATGAAGAAAAAGGGTAGAAGCGTGTTAAATTTACAGTGATCAATTTCTTAACAGCTGAAGAGTCAGCTAGAAGTCCATTCAGCCTTGATGGTGATAAGTTAAGTTTTGATAGCCATAATACAACATGTCAAACTCCACAAGGAGTCTTCACGAGATCAAATGATCTTCTTTGTCCCTTGAGTTATTAAGACACAATTCCTTGATTTTATCACCCTTCAGAAATGTTACATAGCTGAATATTTGTAATTGCAGAAAGAATCAGAAATTCTCAGAGGAATTTCCACTTGGTTCAATGCAAAGCTATTCCCACTAGTCTATAGAATTCTAACAGCAATTCTAAATACACTAAAGGCATTTTTCTGAAGTCACTTTCTTTGTTTAGGTGGTTTGAGTTTTATTAAACTGTTTGTGCTAACGAAAAAAAAAGTCTTTCATGACACAGTAATATTTTCTCAAAATTTACATAATTACGATGCTACATGAAGCTAGTAAATCATAAATTTGTGAGTACATGTAAGGCCTCTGTTTGTAGAAAAGCCAAAAGGGACCTAATTATTAAGAAAAACCTGAGTGATAGGAGCCTCCAAAGTCCTTACCTCATAGTCTGTTGTTATCTGTATGGCTCCGTCATGAAATCCTTCCAGCTTTTTGGCAGTAAGTTTGACTCTGAACACTGCAAAATAGCCTGAAGCTAATATTGCCTATTATGTAGTAGAAATAACATCATTCATTAGTTTTGACCATTAATATGGAGACAGATAAAAACTTAGGCATTATACAACTTTTTCAAAATGAAAAACTTCTGTGCATTTGTGGTTTTGAAGTAACTAAAGTAACTAAAACTCCTTAAAAGTAATGGCTCATAATAAAATGTTACCATTTTTCTGTCCTGTACATGTATTTTCAAGCTTTTCTATACAAGGGGATTGTACCACCCCAAATTGTCAAACAGGCTTTAAGTTAGGGTGGACATCCAGAGCTACATCTGTCATCTGAAACATGACATCTGGTATCCCATAAATTCCTAGACCTTATTTTTGGCCAATGCCTTAAGTATAACTTAACTTCCTATTCCATTATTATTGACTCTTGATCATATGGTACTTTCTGAAATATTTCAACATTAGCCAATTCTTTTTGATACAGTGACTCTGTGTCCTCCCTCATCTTTTCATGCTTTCTGGATCATTCAATATTTTGCCCATAGCATCTCTTAACTACTGCCAATTCAAAGCTTAAAATTTTCAGTTCTTTCAGCTTGAGAAATATTGAATGAGTTCTTCACTTTTTATCCTCTGCCTCCAGATCTCTGCACATTGTGTTATAATATCTTGTATTGTCTTCTCAAGCCAGAAGTTCAGGCAGGGTTCAGAAAAGGCCAGGGCACCAGGGGTATCATTGTTGATGTCAATAGTTCCTGGTTGAAAGCAGAGAATAGTGGAATGCCTATTTATTCTTTCTTAAGTATGCAAAGGCATCTGACTGTGTGGTTTGTAACAAATTATGGCTAACATTGAGAAGAACAGGAATCACAAGACACTAGAATGTACTCATATAAAACCTATACCTAGATTAAGAGACTGTGGTGTGAACACAGCAAGGGAACACTGTTGTTGTTTGGTGCCATCGAGTTGAGTTCAACTCATAATGACCCTATGAACAAAAGATCTGAACCCTGTTTCTACCCTGCACCACCCTCACACTTCCTGACGTCAAGCCACTTGGTCGAGGATCTTCCTCTTCTTCGCCGACCTTCCATCATTCCCAGCATCATGTCCCTTTTCGAGGAACAGCACCTCCTAGCAACATGTCCAAAATATGTGAGGTGAAGTCTCATCATTCTTGCCTCTAAAGAACACTCCAGCTGCACCCTTTTCAAGCCATATCTGTTTATTCTCTTGGCCATCCAGTTCAGTGCTCTTCTCGAACACCACAGCTCAAAGGGGTCAATTTTTCTGTCATCCTTATTCACTGTCCAGCTCTCAAATGCACAGCAAGTGATTTTAAAGACTATGACCCCAATCAGATGCACCTTAGTCCTCAAACTGACATAATTACTCCTCAATAATTTGAACATTTGGAGGGAATAATTGAAGGGAACACTACATGGTTTATAATTTTAAAAAGTTGTATTAGCGTTGTATCCTCTCTCCATATCAATTCAATCTGTATACTGAGAAAATAATTTGAGAGCTGGACTCTATGAAGAAAAATGTGGCATAAGGATCAGAGCAAGTACCAGCAACAATATACATTATGCAGATGACATAATCTTGCTTGTTGAAAGTGAGGAGGACTTGAAGTGCTTGTTGCAGAAGATCACAGGATAGTCTTCAAAATGGATTATACCTTAATGTCAAGAAAATGAAAATTCTCACCATTGTACTAATAGGCAACATAATGGTATATGGAGAAAAGACTGAAATTGTCAACAATTTTATCTTATTTGGATTCACAATGAATACACCTGGTACAAGCAGTCAGGAGATGAGGAGACATATTGTATTGGAAAAGCATGCAGTCAAAAACCTCTCCAAATTACAGAGGAGCAACACTGTCAGTCGAGGACAAAGGTATCCCTGATTACGGCCATGGTCTTTTCAACTACTTGCTATGTATCTGAGAGCTGGACAATGACTAAGAATGAGGGATGAAGAATTGATGCCTCTGAGCTGTGGTGTTGAACAAGAGTGCTGAATATCCTATGCCAAAAGAATAAAAAGATTATCCTGGAGAAAGTGTTGCGGGAGTGCTCCTTGGAGGGAAAGATGACTAAGTTTTGTCTCACAAATTCTGGGGCATGTTGCTAGGAGAGGCTATTCCTTGGAGAGGTGCATCACGCTTGGAAAGGTGGAGGATCACAGAAAGAGAGGAAGCTCTTCAATCAGATGGAATGAAACAATGATCTTGAGTGTGTCAGAGATGATGAGGATGGCAGAGGAAAGGACAGGGTTCAGATCTCTTGTTCTTTAGGTTGCTGTGAGTGGTAACAACAACATAAAATCTTCTGGCCATGGAATACTACGCAGCATACAGGAACAATAATACTGGAAATTATTATTTAATTTGGGAGGAACTGGGGAGCATTATGCTAAGTAAACTAACTCAGTCTTATAAAGACATATACTGTATAAGACCATTATTGTAGAAACAGAAAGATAACTAGTAAAACATGCATGAGGATCTAAGGGTAAGGTGGGGAAAGCAGAGGTGAGGATGGGCAGTGGGGGGGTGGTTAATCATAATGTTGCACAATTTGTTGGGTGGAGGGAGGGGTAGGTAAAGGAAATGGGAGCAATCTGGTGTGAAAAACAATGTATATGAATTTTGTACATAAATCAGTATAAAATAAAAAAATTTTACTTTAAAAAACCATCCCACTCGGCTACCCTAGTAGAACCCATGCAATCTGGTGACACTCCCCTCATGCCCATCTCCCACCAGCAGTACCCACCTCATCTGAACCCCAGAGTGGAAGAAACCCAAGCTTCTGTCATGAGGCGGACCCACCCTGCCTGGCTCCTGAGACATCACCAGAACTATGACTAATCTCACTCATGAATATAGACACAAAGATCCGTAACAAAAATCCTAGTCAATAGACTCCAAAAACCAGCTTATCATGATTAAGTGGGATTCGTAACAGGTATGTAATGATGATTCAATGTAAGAAAAACAATTAACATAATCGTCACATTAATAAAGCAAAGGATAAGAACCACATCATCCAATACACTGATGCAGGAAAGGTCTCCAACAAAATCCTACACCCTTTCTGATTAAAACATACAACAAAAGAGGAACAGAGGGAAACTTCTTCAACAAAGTGTAAAGTATATATGCAAAACCAAGGGCCCACATCATTCTCAGTGGAGAGAGAGCAAAGGCATTCATTCTCCTTATGTATAGGGACTGGGTAAGGATGCCACTGACACCACTCCTACTCAATACTGTATTGAAAGTCTTAGGCAGCACAATAAGGTTAAGAATGAAGTAAAAGGCATCCCAACTGGTGAAGAGAAGGTGAAATGATTGCTATATGTGGATTATTAAAATAGTGTACACAGAAAACCCCAAAGATGCAACAAAAAGCCAAGTTAGACCTTACTAGTTAGACCAATTTAGTAGTGTGGTAGGATACAACGCCAATATATAAATATCAGTTGGATTTTTCTACAACAAAGAAAACACTGAAAAAGTCACAAGAAAAGCAATACCATTTACAATAACTAACCACAAGATGAAATACTTAGGAATAAACTAGAGACACAAAGCTCTGGTAGCCTAGTGGTATGCAGCTAGCCTGGAACCTAAAGTTGTATGGATCAAACCCAACAACTGCTCTGTGGCAGAAGGATGGGCAATCTTTTCCTGTGTGATGTAGCCTCTGAGGACCCTGGGGGGTCAGCTTATCAGATGGTTCCAACTTGGTGGTACCTAACAACAACAAAGACACAAAAGAACTACATAAAGAAACAGACAAAACAGTATTACAAGAAACTGTTAGAGACCTTAAGGAAATGAAAAAACATTTCTTGTACATGGATAAAAAGATACAACATTGTTAAAATGACAATCCTACCAAAAGCAATCTACAGGTTCAATGCAATCCTAACACTGAGAATAACCTCACTTATCAAGGGTCTAAAAAAGGCAATTACAGATTTCATTTGGAAAGGGACGAGACCACATACAAGCCAACTTCTTCCAAAAAATAAAACCAAAGTAGGAGGCTTCACACTCCTTGGTTTCAAAACATAGATAGAGTCATGAATACAGCATGGTACTGGTACAATGAGAAAAACACAGACCAATGGAATATAATTGAGAATCCAGAAATCAACAGTCTATTTCCAGTAAACTATATTTGACAAAGAAATGAAACTCATTAAGCTGGGAAACAACAGTCTCTTTATCAAATGGTACTGGCCAAAATAGACATTCACTTACAGAAAGTGGAAATGGTATCTACATCTTATACCACATACAAAAACCAACTCAAGTGGATCAGAGACCTAGGGATAAAACCAAAACCCATAAAGATCTTCAGAGAGAAAACAGAAACAGATACAGAAGCCCTTCCTAGTCGATGGCATATGGAGCCTGGCTTAGTGGTAAAGAGCTACTGTGCCAACCCATCCACCAGCAGTTCTGCAGAGGAAAGATAGGCAGTTTCTTCCCATGTGATTCACTGCTTCTGAAATCCTGATTGAAGTCAGCTATTAACTGCTTCTGTCCTCAACAGTTTATGGCATGAATAGGCTTGCAAACATAGCTAAAAATGCACAACTCGAAGAGGATAAAATGAAAAAAAAAAAAAATTGGACCTTTTAAGAATCAAATCCGTTTGTTCACATATCAAAAAGTTGCTTAAAAACGAATGGGTAGAGAAGCTGTGGTATATTCACACAATGGAATACTATGTTGCATTGAAAAACAAGGAACTCATTCAATATTATTCAAAATGGGTGAGTGAAAAACAAGGAACTCATTCAATATTATTCAAAATGGGTGAGCCTGGAGGACATTATGCTGAGTGAAATATCTCAGTTGCAAAAGGACAAATAT